TCTCTCTCTCTCTCTCTGGCATTTCGAGCCCTTGCTTTCTTTCTCTCTCTTTTTATCTTTCTCTCTATTTCTTGTTTGCTTTCCTTTCCCCCAGCCACACAGTACCATTTGAACACGAAAATACTCACAGACGTGCATAACCTTAATCACTATACTACATTTTACGAAACACATAATATATTATTATATATCTATGGAGAAAACAATAGGACTGGTGGGAGTGCATACTGTGAAAGTATGCGCGGGTTTTGTGTTTCAACTGAACATACCGCAGCCCCAACGGTTTCCTCAGTCACTCGGCCTGACTAGATCTAGTAAACGACGACAGTCGCTGACCACTCCCGACCTATTAACAGTTCACAAAGAACCGATCCCTGCCAGTGCTGTAGTATGCTTTAACTGTTCCGTCTTATATCATTATTTTATCACCTTCTGCCACCACTGTCAACTACACAGCCCTCAGAATATGGTAGGTGCTAGTGTTACTTTTTTGTCATTATTTTATTGGCAGCGCTTCGTGGTGTTGTGTTCTAGAGTTTGTACTTGTTTTGATGTGGGTGTTTATCCCATGATTCTCGATGTTTGACATCTGGCACCTGCAAAAGTTCCTGATGAAACTGTTCTGTTATACGGGGTGCCCATTACGGCTGGATTGGGCCGATCGCCCGACTCGGTAGCCTGAAACCGAAAACAAATACTTTTGTTTTTTAGGTGACCAAGTCTGGCGATCGGCCGATCCGCCGAACCCATCAGTAATGGCCACCCCGCATTACCGTGATGTCTTTTTTTCGTTCATATTAACTCTCTACAACGAGAGCACTGGGGTGAGGAGAAGAGTGACCCACTCGTTTAGACTTGATCTAAGTGATTGAACGGATGATTGCGCTTTGTAATAGGGGTCGTGTTGTCATTTTTTTATGACAACCCGACAGGGACTTAGGGTTATAAAAAGTTCTTATCCCTGCTGAACATAACGCACAACCCCTCCTCTAATGGGTGCCACTGGTACGAAAAAGCCTTTCTGAAGCATGGAGGGCAGTTACAAGCTTGTTTACTATGTATTCAGGGCAGTTCTCTTTCCAGATAGTCTTAGTTTAGTTTAGTAAAAGTTTTACGGTGCTCGCAACTGCATAAGGTTATAAGAGCGCCTTCTTTAGTTCCGCACAGTATGAGCATGACATTGATAAATCAGCCCATTTAAAATTCTATTGTGTATAAGAGCGTGTTAATACCCCCC